TGTCCTGTGATTGGCTGGCAACCAATTGAGGGTGTACCCCGCCTGCTGCCCGAAGACAGCTGGGATATTCTCCGGCATGCCCACGACCCTCGTGAGGCCAAATGTATACCTTATCTGGGCATCCTAAATGCACCCTAACAGTGCCTCGTCCCCCGCTGAGACAAGTGCATGAATGTTTTGGCGGTGGTGGGGGGTGTGGTGTGGTCTTCCCAGTGTAAGGTAGTAATTTGGTGGTGAACAAGATTGGAAAAGCGACAGTGGCCCCCTCCAGAGTTAAGAGCACGCCGCTTATCCGCAAACAGGGAACCGTCACGGTGCCCCCGAAGGCCTTTTTAAACTACAGAGGACCTACACTGGAACCCTGTGGTACTCCGTCGCTCCCCACTAACAACACTACAGCCCTAAATATCAGACACTCCCTCCTACCCCTTTCAAAAATGTGTGTTCAGAGGCCACCAAAAGTCTCCGGGAACCAACCGCGTGTTTGGCCCTGCGGTAACTATTTACGGAGAAAATTAAACGTCCATGTTGTCTTGTGGTCGGCAAGAAACAGTCACACTCCTGGATGAATTTGTATTAAACACTGTGGGTCCCGATTGGATTGTGCCGATCGTGTATGTGCGCGTATGCGTGTGCAAACAGTCCATGTAAGCGGTCCAGGAGCTGCATGTCATCTTGGAGTTGTCATTCACCACACCCATCCACTTTTAGAAGTATCTGTTGGACTTGCCTTCCATGCAATTATAACTGCCCTCTGGCTCCTTTCCACTTACGGAGCTTCTATTACCGCCTCCCAAGTTCCAAAATTACCATTTCTAGAAAGTCGTGCGGTGACTTTTACTTCCGTGCACACATGCTCAATGGCTGCGTGTGTGTCTGTGTTTTTTTGCTTTAAATAAATAAATAAATAATTTGGAGGCCGGGTAAAGCTGTATTCTCGCTGTTTGATCATCTCTCATCGGCTCTTGGTGAATCTGTCTGAGGTCTCAGCAGTGACTTTGCCTTCACTTGACTGAGCAACTTGAAACTTCCAGACAGTTTGATCCCATCAAAAGGGAATATCATAAATTTTGGGGGTCATTATTTGCTGAGCCGCGCTTTTTGGTTTCGATTGCACTCAGGAATGGGTGGAGTGACAGTTCTTTTCTCAGGAAATGTTGTGTTTCTTGGACCAGTCGGTGTTTGGCCTTGTCAGCGGCCGTGTCGCTCAGCCAGCCTTTTCACATGACTACTACAAAAATAACGGCTGATGAAATGTGTGGCCAGATAAGAGCAGCAGAAAAAGTTCGCCGGACCACATCTCATCGGGTGCGACCTGCCCTAACGCTGACGAGACCTCTTTATGTGCAGATGAAAGTTTGTGTTCAGAAAATTGTTTTGCTTGTTGAGAAAAAAAAAAAGTGTGGTTGTTTCCGTTTGCAGGACAGTGGTGATGCCCATAGCCAATGAGTTTGCCCCGGACGTGGTTCTGGTATCATCTGGTTTTGACCCGGTGGACGGACACGCGCCGCCTTTGGGTGGCTACACGCTGACTGGCAAATGTAAGTACCAAGTGAAACCAATTTAAGATTCAGAATGATGTTATTGTTCATATCCTGTGTAGCGAGACTTTCTTTGGAAAGTCAAACTGTGACGACAATAGGCCACATCGTGAATTCGTGTTCAATAAAATTTATGGCTTCAAAACACGAAAGTAAAAACTGCAGGAGGCCCTCGGTCCACCACAGTACCAGCATGCGATGATCTGAGATGAGAAAGTCATTTTAGGATCTTCACAAGAACTCTAAAATGAGCCGGTGAAGGGACGCCAGAGTAGGAGTGACGTGCTCCCTCTTACGAGTAGCAGTCAACAGGCAGCATTCTGGCCCAACTGGAGTTGCTTAATGGAGGATCGGCTGACTTCAAAGCAAAGCGCCTTCCAATAATCCAGCCGATATGTGACGAAGACACGAATGATTCTTTCAAAGTGCTCTTGAGAAAGGAGAGGCTTTACGGCGCCTTTTGGCCCCTATAAATCCGTGGCACACTTTTCTTCCTCTCGTGGGTTATTTCCCTTCTTTTAAGCCATGCGTGGGACCCTCTTTTCTTTCTTTTTTTATTTCTCTGATCACTTTCCAAAAAGGAAGTGAGCGCTTCATGGGCCTCCCCAACATTTTCTTCTCTCGGCTTGTCATTTCCCGTGCGTCCAGGTTTCGGCTACCTGACCAGGCAGCTGATGGCTCTGGCAGGCGGTCGGCTGGTACTCGCCCTGGAGGGAGGCCATGACCTCACGGCCATATGCGACGCGTCTGAGGCCTGCGTCTCCGCTCTGCTCGGCAACGAGGTAAGCTGAGAGCCGGGTTCGGACGGGAGGGACGGGCGCTAGTTGCCGTCTCAAGAAATGCTCACCGACCGTCTTTTAAGTAGCTAACGTCAATTGCTCACAAGCCATTTGAAAGTCACTTTTCCGTCACGCGTCGGCTTTCAAGCTTCTTGATGCTGTTGTACACCTCGTCCGAGATTGAGTCCTCCGCTCTGACAGGAAGTCAGCAGAGGCGCGCACCCTCCCGGAGAGACAGCAGGAGGAGAGGGTTTCCAGGCAAAAGGTTAATTGTGGGAGTGTGTGTAGGTTGGACTCTGGATCGCAGCTTTGTGATTCATGGCACCCGACAGAATAGCCAAAAGCGGCAGGAGCCGCCTCCGCTTTTTCTTGGAGCTGATGGGGAAGTTGGAGTGCTCTCTCGCAGGGGCTCGTGTTCTCCCTCTGGGCCGGATTATGTAACTAAGATAACTTCTTCTTCTTCTTTTGTTGAGGGACTACTGTACTGCGCTCGAGAAACCCTGAATGTCCAAATGTGGCCAATTTCGTTTTTTTTTTTTTTTCCACCAATCGATACTCTTGGTCTGTATCCACGTTGTCGGTTATTTTTACGCTTTAGTCAGCAAGTCTAAGTGTTGAGAAAAGCTCGAACACATCTATTAAGTCAGTCCGAGAAATGTCGTGAACGTTCACCTTTTCCTCACTCTGCGGGAGCATCATGATGCCACCTCAAGATCGAAAGTCTGGAGGGTTTTTTTGGACACTAATGAGTGAAAAGTGTTTGGTTCGTTAAATTTCAGTAGGCCTGTTTGATTAAAAATGGAGCACCGTTTTCGTACTCGGGTGCAGAAGGAAGCGGGTCAGCCATGAAGGTCAGCTGTGTTTACTCCTATTGCACTGCTCAGTCAACTGTTTTGGGTTTTTTTTTTGTTTGTTTTGTTTTTTTAATTTTATTTATTGCATCACTCATGGCTCTTGGAGCATTGAACAGATGTGACACAGTTGCTTTTGATTTCAGGATTTTGGTCTTCAAGGGCTTGAGGTGAGGACAGTGAGGAAGGCTTGAGCTCACGCTACCATTGAAATCATAAATTCTTGACGATATTCTCTCGAGCCGTGAGGGATTAAGCAAGCGGAAGTTGGCGAAAGGGTCGCAAAATGGACTCTAATGCAGAAAACGGCTGGATGGACGTAAAAAAAAAAAAAAAACAACTGCGTTGATACCAATGGATGACCGGTCCGTCATTTGTTCTGCTGCAAAAATTATGAATTGGATCAAAGGGCGCACGTTTAAAATTTCGGCGGCCTGCCGAGCACCAGACGTGGCGGTGTTTTTTTGTTTTTTTTTTTAGGGTGGGGGTGGAGGGGGGGTTGCAGGTCACTGGATGAGTGCCGAGGAGAGCTGAAAATTCGAAAATAGGCAGGAGGCAATGAGCTCCAATTGCCTCAGCCCTGCGGGACGCCCGCTCGCTCGCAGCCGAGGCCCCGCCGCCGGTGCACATCTGAAAGCGGTTACCCTCGCAGCCCTCTTTCCACGGGGTCGGCCCAGGTCTCGGGAGCAGATCGGACGGGGAAATGCGGGAATCCTTTGAAGTGGAGCGTGAGGAAACCTGATTTTCACGAAGCCGGGTTGAAAATACATCTTCTTGAACCTGCGTCACGTGTACGCTCAAGGAGTTTGGAATCGGCCGCTTGGAATCGCCGGTTGTTGTTATTCTTCCAAAGTCTGCCTGGCCGGCCTTTTTCGTGGGCCTCACCCAACATGCCCGAAAACTCACCAGTCTTACCAAGCGCAGTTCAAAGACAAAAGTTCAACCGTCACCAGCAGAAAGAGAATCAAGCGCAACCTTGTTGTCTTGACTTCCACCGGGCCGACGGGTGAGGTTAGGTGGTGGGGGGGGGGGCACATTTAGATGCTCGGAGTTTTGATACCCGACAAGCAGAAAGAGCCTGAAATGTCCCTGATGGGATGAAAACAGGAAGCGAGTACCTTTATCATAATATCAGTGAAGGTCTCTGTAATGGTCATGGAATGCGGCTGGAAAACATCAATGGTGCGTTGCAGCGAGAAGGAGAAGCGAGGCCCGCTGCCGATACGCTTTTTGGCTTTTTCTTTTCCGATCCTCTGCCCCTCGATGCACTTTTTCAGGCTAGTTTTGCTGCCTAACTTGCCGAATACGTATGGCACAATCATTTAGACCCAAAAGCCTCGCGTTGACCTCAATAACTCCCGTGGATTTTTCCTCCCAATCATAATAATAATAATAATAATAGATTACATTTGCAAGCGCCTTTCATAGCACTCAAGGACCATGTACATCACTAAATAAAGTTACATACAGCCATGAGAAGATCGTTTGTGATTTTTATGAGGGCTGTTTCAGTACTGTGACGGGGACGGAAGCCAGACTGGAATTGTTCGTAGAGACTAATGTTAGTGAGGTGGGAGTGGAGTTGAGAGGCAACAATTTTCTCAAGGATTTTAGAGATGAAAGGAAGATGGGAAATGGGGCGTAGGTTGTTGAAGTCATTGGGGTCAGAACCGGGTTTTTTCAGAATTGGGGTGACTGCTGCTGTTTTGAAAGGCATAGGAACAATTCCAGTAGACAGAGAGGAATGGATAATGGCTGAGATGATGGGGAGCAGAGAGGGCAGGCAGGATTTGACCAGAACTGTGGGGAGGGGATCAAGCTGACAATCAATTTCGTATTGAAAAAGCGTTGCAGTTAGCAGTCCTATCGAAGATTTCCATACCTCACCATTTGATTCACTAAATAAAGTTACATACAAAGGCTTTGATGGCATTCCACAATGCCGTAAGATTTGTCCCGATTTCACCCCCTTAGGCGTGCCCCGTGACCTCTTCACCTTGGCGGCGTAGCTTGTACGTCCACCCTTTTAGCGCTCGCCAGAGCGAGAAATATAGTTTGCCGTTTATTGCCTAGTAATGAGCCCGAGGTTCTTTTGAAAACAGCTCAAATGAATTTGCACAACAAAAGATGACAAAACGTGGACCGTACGGACCGCGCGCCGTGCCCGCCCTCCGTCGACGTCGTGCGTAACGCCGAAGTCCCCCTCGTTAAATAGCTTCCGAGTGATGTATGAGCGACTGCGATATTCGTCTGCGAACTTTGGACTAATTAATGAGGGCTCGCGAACAGATGTTGGCCCCATTGCGACACGCGCTTGTTAGCAATGATTTGATAAACAACAGGCTAATATGCTAATGGATAGCAGCTGTCGGTGACTTCTTTTCAGTCTGTTTTTTGCTCCGCTTACAGTAAGACGCTCAAATTCACCTGCGCCCTCTCGGGGCCCGTCTGTTCACCCCCGCGGCCCACCAGTGGAAAAGATCACCTGGTTTGCTCGGCACACGCCATTACCCCGCTCAGTTAGCATGACATAATCAACAGGTTTTGGCCACTGGTAACACATGTACGCCGCCACAACAGTAAACAATGGACGCCTTTGTGCGCCTTTTTCTTTTGCTGAACACGTGGAATCCCACCTCTTTCCACTGTTTTTGTTTCAGCCTCCCCCTGGAATGTTTATACCGGCGCACATTCCTCGCTCTGAGCTCGTGGCTTTCCGCAGCGTCTCGCTCAGGTTTGCCAGGACATCAGTCATCGTGTCACGGAAGCCGTTGCAAACCGTCGTTCTCTTCGTACCACCTCAGGATTCGTGTCACCGTGGACCTTGTTGGCTTCCATATAGTGCGTACTGTGTGTTTGCCCTTCTGCCAGGTGCCCCCCCCCTTCCGCACCCCCCGCCCCCAGAGGACCCTGACATGAGCCATTAAAGTTTATAAGCATGGGGCCCAGCTGTCAATCAGGTAGGCAAACCGCCCTCCCTCCCCCGGGCCCCATCCAATCACTCGCCGAGGTGAGCCCCGCGAAACCCCAGAGAACCCCTGACCTCGCTTTGACGGAGAGCTCAAGCAAGCGGGGTTAGTCCGGCTTTGACCGGCTGGGCTTACAGAAAGTCATTTTCGCCCCAAGGCTCGGAGGCAACTTTTTCAACCAAACGCCGACGCTTGGTCAACTCTGAGCTAGCTTGGAGAATTTGTCCTTGGGAAATCTCTTTCGTATGTATAGTATGTTAGTGTCGTATGCTCCTGTGCTGTCCTGACCCCGCTAGTCATCGCGATCCCTTCCCCGCATGCTTCGGCAATGCCTTCGCGGTCCACATTACGGTGATTCTCAAGTCCTGTCCAATATTGTCTGACAGTGTTTTTCAATCAACATCCCGATGGATCCCTTACATTATTCTCAGGCTTCCAGTCACTGACGTAGCAACATGAGTAAGGACCATTTGGTTTTGATGATTTACTACAGGCAATCTAAACAAATTGGATTTGCGCTTTCTTGAACCAACCATAAGAAGGCCGCCACGTTTTAAGCCGTGCACGAGTTGTCGGTGGCCACAACTCACGGCGAGTCACTCACCACGCCAACGTACGGCTAACTCTCCATTCTCCTTCACTGACGCCCACGTCACTCACCAGGCCAGGTCATGCCTTTTCCGAGCAAAACGCATCAGCAATTATACATCAGCAATTCAGTGTAGCCTTGAAAATTTTTTAACTATTTCACTTTGAAAAAAACCCAAATGAAGTGTCGATCGCAAATGCACGTCATCACGTGCACCAGCACCCGGTCGGTTCCCGTGCGCATGATGTCGTGTGGCGTGACACTGAGGGATTAAAGTATCCTTAACCCTGCACTGCCTCTTCCTTCTTCCCCCGTGCACCCCTCCCACTCGCTATTTGTTCAAATTAAAAGAACTATTCCGACCTGGCGGAAGAACCCGAGTGCTCTTGACATCTCCCCGGTACGCCCAACTTGAGCGTCGTCTTTGTGTCTTTTCTTTGCCATCCCTTTGCTTGAACGGGGAACGGATCAAGCGATGATGTCTCGTCTGACAAAAGTGGCGAGAAACTCTGCGTGCCGATCCAGACTACACACGCGCATATACTTTGGTATGAGCAAGCAGTTTCCATGTGTTTGTGTCCTCCGGGTGGGTCACAGTACAAAGAGCATATTGTCCTTGTGGATTTATTTATTTTTTTGTCATAGCGAAGCAGCGCTCCAGAGTCGCTGCGGACCGTTTTCATGGTGCGTCAGCAACTTAGTTGGCTCTTCACACCCTGGCTTGTAAGTTCACATGCAGAGCTGAGCTGGAGGAGGCGAAAGGGAACGAGAGTTCAAGCGAGGTTAACGCTCGCTGGTTGGTTTTCTTGTGAGGCCGGGTTGGCGCGGCACGATTCCAGCCACGCGGTCCCTGTTTTTGCTCACCGTTGGCTGACGCGTCATGGCGACGTAAAGGCTGAATGAGGCGCGCAATCGGAGGGCGGACAGATAAGTAGCGGATATCTTCTATTGTAAGCGTAGTGCGTGAATGTGCGGGTTGACTATACCCCGTCAACGGAGGTCATCGTGATGTCTAAGAACACCGTGTCTGCTCGAAACCCCGACAAAGACGGCAAAAAAACACCCCGCTGGAAACGTAAATTCAATTGAAAGCATCGAGACTGTGCCCCGGTAGCGGCCATCCATAAACACACCAAATAATTGCGAATGGCGGCCAGTGGAGTCATGGGAAGATGACTCTCCTTTTTTATTTCTTGCATGTTTTTGTTTCAGTTGGAGCCCATTCCAGACGAGGTCTTGCATCAGAGACCAAACGCCAATGCCGTCCACTCGATGGAGAAAGTTCTTGAAGCTCACAGTGAGTGAATAATTGCAATTGGCGGTCGGACGTGATTGCCGGCAGGCGAAAACGACCGTCCTGCAACCATACGCCCACCTTTGGAATTTTCATTCGGGTTGACCTGCTTTTTACAAATGTACTTTGTTTTGATTGAATTTTGCAGCAGGTTTGTTAGTTTTTGTTCATTTTTATTTTATTTTTTTTCAAAAACGCTTTGTTTTTGTTAGATTGAGTATTTGGCTTTAGTTTTGTCAAATGTGAGTTCACAAAAAAAAAAAAAAAAAATCACAATAAGGATTGCGGAATAAAATCTGGTGGATATGGATATGTATCTTCCCAATGATGTCGCTTCTGGGCGACACGCGGTAAAAACCATTTCCCAAATGTCTGTTGGAATCTCAATGCAAAGTCAAGCCTACGACTTGGACGAAAGGGTTAAAAGCAACCCGAAACGTGAAATAACTGTCAACAACTGTCAACGACAACAAAAATGTCTTTTCAATTTGAGCCTGAGCTCGTTCATTTGCAAATGTCATCACTTTGCTTTTGTCTTGTTCGGGCTGCGCGCAGGTCGATACTGGCGCTCGCTGCAACGCTCGGCCTCCACGCTCGGATGCTCTTTGAGCGAAGTCCTACGGGGGGACGCCGACGAGGCGGAAACCGTCTCCGCGATGGCCTCGCTGTCCGTCGCCAACAAGCACTTTGGAAGGAAGTACGTTTGCGCTAGCTTGCTCGGGAGTCAGAACGACAACCTTGTGTTTTTCTTTTCATTCTTTCGTATTTATGACCTAGATGTGTTCTTTATACAATAAGTATTGAAAAAAAAGGAACAAATGCAAGAGGAGAGAATGCTTTTCAAAAATGCTTTAGCTGTTTGGATTAGATGCGACTGTTTTTTAGACCATGAAAGTGTTCGCGATTTGTGATTGGCTGCCACTCAGGGGGGTGGGGCCAGTATAAAAAGGAAGAGGGTTTCAGGTGTCAAACTCGAAGCCCCGGGGCCAGATCCAACCCACCGTATCGTATTTTTTGTGTGGTATCCAAAAGCAAATCATCACCGAAATTGCCTTGACTTTTAACAATGTTGAGATCTTGTGAATGGTTTTGATTACTGTTCCCATTTATTTTATTTTTTTTACGGACATTGAAAATATAGAGTAGCAAACAATGTTTTGCCAATGAATCGCCTTCAGGCTTTTCCTCTCATTGCATAGTCGACTCACCGACGAGTCGCTCTTAAACCCTTCATGCCATAACAACAGGAGTCTTGTGACGATTACTCATGCATGCGTGCGTGCGTGCGTGCGTGCGTGCAGGGCTGACGAAGAACCGATGGAAGAGGACGCCTCCATGTAAAGCGGCCGCCCCGCCTTTCCAGCACTGAGACTTTGCATCCCGATGGTTGTTAGAACCACTCCCACCACTCTGCCGGTGTCATCGCCAGACGCTGACCAGAAAATGGACAGGACACGCAGAGACCGCTCGGCCCACGAAAAAACAAACAAACAAACATTCTCATGTAAATCTACCGTGATGTGTACAAATGGACGTCAGCGTCACTTCGTGGAACACGCGACCATTCCGCAGCCTTTAGTGCCAGTACTTTTCATACACTACAGTAGACACACGTCGGGGTGTACTTTTTTTTTTGGAATGCCAGTCAAAACCAGATTCTGCATCCTGCTTTTTTTTTTTTTATAAGGTCTTCTTTTCGTGTGCACGTTTTCATCCAAAACCCACCGGAGGATATTAAGAATGTCATTCTGCACTTAGGTTGGAACATTCCGGCTATTTTTAATTTTTTTTTTTTCGTTTGTGTTGATTTTATGAAAGAACGGAACAAAGAGATCAATTTGGTCCCGTTTTTCCAGTGTGTAATCTGGTCCGCAGGTGTTCTCATTCCAAAATGAGTGACAGTGGAAGGAAAAAAGAAAAAAAAATCTGTGCGTTTGTGCCTTTTTTGTTATTGTTTCAAATAATATCGATATTTTTGGATAGTTGCTTAAAGAGCTTATGCCTTAAAAACGGGCTCAGAAAAAGGG